CCACTAATGGTTCCCCTTGAACTGACCTAATCACAAACTAATACATGTTAACTTAGCAAAATTTTCAAAGTTTATAGACCATGACTAAGGGGGCGGAGCCAAATAATCTCCATGGAAATGAGATATGCCAATGCTTATACAACTGCATACCAAATATCATTGACCTACCACTAGTGATTCCCCATAAATTGACCTAATCACAAACTAATACATGTAAACTATGAAAAGTTTCAAAGTCAATAGACCTTGACTGAGGGGGCGGGGCCAAATAATCTCCATGGTAATGAGATGTGCCAATGCTAATACAACTGCATACCAAATATCATTGACCTACCACAAGTGGTTCACCATGAACTAGACCTAATCACAAACTAATACATTGTTGACGCCGCCGCCGCCGACACCGGAAACAGCATACCTATGTCTCGCTTTTTGGTTCCGTCAAGGCGAGACAAAAATACTGAACTCCAAGGGAAAGTATCACATAATATGAGACAAATCTAGAAATAAACAGAATGATTAACAGGAAGCTGTCATATTGGTGACCTTTTCTTTAACAACTTAAATAAGTTCACTTTCAATCCTGCTCCTCAAATTTTATATGTAATATAAATAATAATAATAAAATAAAAAAAACAAGCAAAACATAATTGTTTCAAACAATTTCACGTTCTGAGTTATCGATTAGAAAAATATATATATAAAAATAAAGTATCTGTGAAAAATAATGAACACTTGTAAAAGTCTTGTGAATACAATCATTTAAAAAATCAACATTGTATACCGTTTGAACATTTTATACTTGTAGCAGCACTTCTTGTGCATAAAATTTTTTAAAAACATCCCCACTCTATCCCGTTTAAAATGTTACAAAGATCACTGGTTTGTGTTTCTGCAATGTCTTCGATGCCTTGCGAGGTTTGTCCTCCACCTATATTTTTTCCCACACGAGCACACAAACCATTCTAATCTGTGCTGACTCTCCACATGATCTGCCATGGCCGCATCTGACAAGAAACTCTTCCCACATTCATTGCATGTCGGAGAGACAAGACAGCATTTTTTGTGGTGAGAAAAACTACACTTTGAGGAATAAGATCTCTTACAGGTACTGCATTGATAGGGTTTCGTTCCAGTGTGTGTGTTGATATGGTCACTGAGCAATGCAGTAGTTAAAAATCTCATTTTACATTGATCAAAAGGACATAGGTGAGGTTTCGCCGTGTGTATAGCTACATGTGCAGATAATGCAGACGGCTTTTTAAATTTCTTTCCACAAAATGAACATAGCTGGGTACGTTGATGTTTTGACATTTTATGATCATCTAAATCTTCTTTTGAATCAAATGCTAGCCAGCAAAGTTGACATGAAAAATTTGCTGTGTGCATCTTCATATGATTCCTCAATACGTCCCGACATTTATAGGTTCGACTGCATAACTGACATTCAAAGAAATTTTCTTGTGTCCTTTTGTTTGCATGTACTCCAACTTCAGTGCCTGTTTCAGTAATGCTTAAGTCCAATGGCTCTGACATATTTACACTGCAAAAGAAACATATCATTATTGTGCAAGAACTGAACATCTTAAATAATGTGAATGATGGTACGACAAAAACGAATAAGATAATAAAAAAATGTTAAGATGTTAGATGAACAATAGAAAGAAAAAAGAAAAAGATGTCAACAACGAATATTGCTTTATTCATAATCTCCCTTGGTGGATGTTTATTTATTTGGTTGTCAAACCCCCTGCGTCTTGTCTTTCAAATTTTTAAATATATTCTAGGAAAAAAGTCAAAGACTAGAAAAACAGCAGCAGGCCAAACTCTTTAATTGATACCCTCGCTCTCCCTATTTGTTGTCTTGGTAAAGTCCATGTTTTGCTATGGGGAGTCCCAAAGGGTTATTCAGACCACAGTCTTAAATAGGTGGTGCAATGACAATCTGTTACATTTATAACGATTCTGTAAAAGTTTCATTGAAATTCATCCACGGTTACAAGGAGTTGCAGATAAGCGACCGATACTTCAAGGAACTCTTATTCAAAAAGGAAACACCCACAAATGGAAATATTATATGTTACTAGTATTCAGGTCTCAGACAGGGTATATAATGTGACATTCCCGGCTTAGAGTTTATATTCCCGGAGTCGAAGGCGAAGGGAATATAAACTCTAAGCCAGGAATGTCACATTATATACCCTGTCTGAAACCTGAATCACACATATATTACGGATTACCCCTGCCTTATGGTTTTTTAGTACCAGATATTTGTTAAACATTCACCATGCAGTATGTATATTTTCCGCGTACGTGAAGGATATTTGTAATTTGCTGTGAAAATAATTATATCGTGTATGCAATAATTTGTAATAACACTTTAAGACATTAATTAAGTATTTGATGTTTAAATCGCGTGATTTTTAATTAAAAACGTATTATTGACGGATACACGTCATTACTTTCCTTCTGTGAGCCTCTGACGTTCTTTAAGTGTTCTGTATAGCTTAAGACTACGTCACATAGTAACGTTCGTTATGATGACGTTGTTGAGTTCCAATTGGGGTAAAAAAAACGTCGTATATACCCCGGCAGTGTCCTGAATATACACTGACATCTCTGTGTTGTTATCCAATCACAAAACTCGACACATTTGTAATCCGTAATACATGTTAATGTACAAATCTCTAATATATGTATTAGAATGTCTGATGTTTTCATTGAAATCCATCAACAAGTTTAAAAAGAGTTGCGTTGTATACCCCAATTAGTGAAACACTAAAGACCATTTTTGGATAAGTGAAAGCCCAAAAATGAAAAAAAAAATCATTTGAAGTAGGAGGAACATATCTCTAAAGTAAGAATGTTTGAAGTTTTCATTGAAATCCATACACATGCAGAAGTATCAGTATTCGCCATGCACTATCCGCGTGTACCATATGTTACCTGGTGTGGGTCAAAAACTCTTACATGCCGAGAAAGCGTTTACTGTCTCAAACCAGTATATGCCGTATAATGTGGTATAATTTTGAAATATCTTTTCATTACTATTTTCATCGAATATTACATGATCTTACATCTCCTAAGTCAACCCAGTCACAGTGTATATACGGAAAATTGAATAGAAACAAGTACGCACGGTCATTTTAAGGTAAACAAGTTGTGCAAAACGACTGCACATACTCATTTTTATTCTATTTTGCACAAATTACCGTACGAATATCTCAAATGAATATACACTTCCGTTTATACACTGTGCCAGTTTATACGTTTTATGTTGACGTACTATTTCATTTACCAATCGATTTGCTACCCCGATTAATCCAGTCATGACATTGAATTCCGATCACTTCTCGACAGATGAAGAAAATGAAAATTCTTGAGGAATCTACTGTAAAAAAACCTTTCGAAGATTTTGAATCGACGGTTTATGAATGTATCATAGAAGATTTTTTATGTATATATCATCGTGGTACAAAATGAAGGTCAGTGATATCTCATCTATCTCTAAATTAAAACATACTCACCCATTCTTGTCAAATAGAAAATCAGTATTTTCCCTTCTATTTTTCATAGTACATGGCTTTCCATGCACTATAAAATGCTACACATAGATGACTTTTCATTGTAGATTAATTATGAAAGAGAACTCTTAAAAATTCGAAGTGTACAACCCCCCAAGGTAATGTCCAAGGGATAGGAAAAAAGAAAAAATCAGGAATACTGTTTAATTACCCGGTATTAAAAATTAAATCAGGAGAATAGAACTAAAAAAGTATTTCAAGTTGAGATTTCAACATTGTAAATGTTATTTAATGGTATATAGTTAGACCACCCGAAAAAAAATTGAAAAGGGGACAAAGGTGTTGGTAAAATACATGTAATAATTAATCACATTTTTATACCAAACCTCAAACTCAATGTTTTAAGAAACAATGACTGTTGATAAAAAAATTAAAGAAAGTTTTGGAAAAACAATACATTCATCAATAAAAAAAAACCAAACATGTGCTGTTGAAACGATTGTAAATTAAAATTTATTTATGAAGTTTTGTCCTTATCAAAAATTAAACAATTTTAGAAAAGCTGATTTATATAACATTTTGTGTTTTTTTAAAATGAAGGAATTTTAGATATGAAAGATTAAATTGTACCTGAAGCAGAGGAAATCTCCATTTTTGAATAATTTATCCTTTTTTGTTATCACGAAACTTTCCCATTGCTATTTCATTCCATCTATTGAAATGACCATTAAATAATTTACATCCCTTTTACGAAACATGTTAACACTTAAAGTGAGCTAATATCAAAGTTTGATTATTACAATGAGAGGCTAATTTTGTTATGTCACTCCAAGGTGTGAACATGTTCTTAATTGGTCAGACAATACTTGGTCATGTTTTATGAACATTTAAAACCCTCGGCTACGCCTCCGGCTTTAAATATTCATAAAACATGACAAAGTATTATCTAACCTATAATGTTGCAATACCAAGACCCATTTTACAGCTTTGATGTCGTATATCAATCAATTCTACATATTCACATTCAAAAAGACAAATGATTCATCTACAGAATTCCGATTTTAATGAAATTAAACAATTGTGTTATGTGAGAAATTCAGCTAAAAGACGCCAACTTTTTTATTTTTAAACGAAATTTCGTGTGCAATTAGGTTAGTGGTGACATTATACGTAACTTAAGCAACAAACTGACAATTTATATGATGTCCTACCTAGGTATAATACAATGTATGATCTTTTTTATTAAAGAATTGCGAGAGCAAAAAAAATATCAAAATTACCTACCGTTTTTCTGTCAAGTTGTCCTTTTCAACAACGGTTTGTGACCATGTCCGACGGTTTTTGATTGCAATAACACGATTCGGTTTTACGGTGTGGTTAGACAGAAATACTAATCATATCTTGGTTCGACGACAAAGTTGAAAGATATAAATAACAGGCCGTGATAGAAATACTCCAAAGACTATTGTACACTGAATAGTTTGTATTTACATTATTGCCATGAATAGTTTGTACAAACGCGATTGCCATGAGTAGTTTGTATTTACATGATTGTCATCAATAGATTGTATTAACATGATTGTCATGAATAGTTTGTATTAACATGATTGTCATGAATAGTTTGTATTAACATGGTTGTCATGAATAGTTTGTATTAACATGATTGTCATCAATAGTTTGTATTAACATGATTGTCATCAATAGTTTTTATTAACATGATTGTCATCAATAGATTGTATTAACATGATTGTCATGAATAGTTTGTATTAACATGATTGTCATCAATAGATTGTATTAACATGATTGTCATCAATAGTTTGTATTAACATGATTGTCATCAATAGTTTGTATTAACATGGTTGTCATGAATAGTTTGTATTAACATGATTGTCATAAATAGTTGTATACACATGATTGTCATGAATAGTTTGTATACACATGATTGTCATCAATAGTTTGTATTAACCTGATTGTCATCAATAGTTTGTATTAACATGGTTGTCATCAATATTTTGTATTACCGTGATTGTCATAAATAGTTTGTATTTACATGATTCTCATGATTAACTTGTTCATTTTTTCTGAAATGGTTTAGAATCTTTGATAACATTTTCAAGTTACAATATTAATTATATTATTCCAAATCTTTTTTTTATGTTTTGTTCTGAAATGTTTTGTCAAACTGCCTCTCCACTTGTATTTGGCACCACAACAGGAACACGTATACCTGTAATTGTTTGCATGAATTGCCTGTACATGATCTTCTAGTAAATCCTTTCGAGTGAAGTTCAGGGAACATTCGCTGCATTGAAGTAAGGGAGATAACAGATGGTGGCTAATTTCGTGTCTCTTTAGTCCTGATTGTGTAGTAAATAGTTTGTTACAATATGTACACTGTAATTTCTCACTACCATGATATTTTCTGCAATGTCTTTCCATTTGGTGTTTTTCGATACATTTGTAGCCACAATTAGTACATTGGTGTGGCATACCTTGCTCTCCTCTATGTTTTGAACGGATGTGCTTATTCATGCCACATTTAGTATTAAAGCTTTTTCCACATTCATCACACATAAATGTTGTCCCTTTTTTGCATGATTCAGCAACATGAGCAAGCTTTAATGTTTCAAACCTGAAATAGAAATACATATAACCATAAGACAAGGAATGATAAAAGTACCATCTACAACTGAATCAACGTTTACAATGTTTTTCTTGTTCAGAAAAAAATATGAACTTGCAATATTTGTTCAGAAGTGAAAATTGATAAGTACATTGTGATGTCAACGTGTGTCAGCTATGAAAAGTAAGGGGGAAATGAAGCCCGTATTATTATCAACCAACTAATACATGCATGCATCTACATATAAATTGCTAAATCTTAGAGTGTCCCATAAATGAACTTTGACCTCAACATAAAATAAGTACTTCATAAAAGAGCTTTAGTCTGAACATAAAATAAGTACTTCATAACAGAGCTTTAGTCTTAACATAAAATAAGTACTATTAAGTTCATCTGCATCTAATTTCAAACGATTGATTTGATACTTTACGGGAGCGAGTGGTAGAACAGAAATCAAACGACGTAGAAGTTAGCAACTTTAGAGCCTTCAACAATGAGCAAAATTCAATACCGCATAGCAATCTATCAAAGGCCACAGAATGACAAATGTAAAACTATTCAAACGCTAAAACTAACTTGCTGATTTATGCACAAGAAAATAAATGAAAAACAAATATTATATGCATTTACTAAATGCAGTCATCCATTAAATTATTTGCTGTATTACTGACTTGGTTTTGACACTTATGAAATATTTGCATCATACATGAAGATGACTACGGGTATGTTTCCTTTGTCGTAGCCACAAATACGTCTTTACTTCCTCGTCTGTTACTTCGACTCATCAAACGTATTTTATACTTGTCATGGGCAACATGACGGTGCTATAAGTATAGGAGGAACTGCTTACCCTTCCGTAACACACGAGTTAACCAAACTTTAGGGTTTACATGTTTGTTAAGTTACGTGTTGCTCAAACTTAAGTTTTCCGTAAAGAAAGTGTTTTGTGAAGTGTTGCTTGTCTGTTCTTCCCTTAACTTTTCGTCATTGTATTTTCTGTATTTCTAATTCAGCTTATTGTTGTTGATTGTCCGTTTATATCCTCTTACTAACTTTAAATTGCTTGCTATATATATACACGTTAACAAGAGTTTCAAGGTATTTTTAACTTCATTTTTTTCGAACATAACTAGGCATTCCATAGTTCAAAAACCATATTCTTCTTTTTATTTCGAAATCTTTCTTTACAGTTTTCACTAATAACAATTTCAATTATTGTTTAGATAAAATTGAAATTTAAAATACCATGAATATTTTGTTTATTTGTATAAATGTAATTGTATAAGACAAAATTAAAAAAAAAACCTACCCGTTGTTAAATATTTGTAATCTATCGTCTATCAAAAACAATCGAAGCCGATGAAATCAAAATCTACACCGAGTTTGTTCAGGAAAGTGTACACGCTTGACAATATATGGAGTGACCACTTGCTTGACCAAAAGGGATAACACGCGTACGGTATTCCCCTTAAAAGCTAGGGTCAGAATGTGCTCGAATTCACAGGTACTTAGTTCATATAGGTACCAACGATGGCGGTATACTATTGTGCTAACAATAATATTCTGCCTGTTATTTCGACCGATTAAATCAATCACTGTCATGCATGCATCTGCTACTCTACCATGCATGCTTATAAGGTCTTGTTTTTATTCTCACAAGGCAAGAGTATCTCCTGCATCGAAAGTCTACAAATGTTATTTAAGACGAATGAGCATGAAAGAAATACAATTTTAAATTTCAAACGTAGAGAATTATGAGAAGGAGGAAAGTATAATTATAATAATTATAATTATACATTGTGTTATATCTTGTGATCCGTTTATTTGGCAATCGCCAATGGCAGTCAGCAGGGTTTAAGGACATCAGTTGTTCGACCTGCTTGTCAAATGCGTTTTGTTAAAATATACTTTTTCACTCATTTGGTCTTTTGGAAAATGTTGTTTGTGCTGTATTTAGACCCCTCTACCAAGACATTTGTTTTGCATGCACACGTATAAAAATTGCGGTTTTTATCTTATCTTATTATGTTCTTAAAACCTGCTGACTGCCATGGCGATTGCCAAATAAACGGATCACCAGATGTAAAAATGGATCTTAATCATTAATTTGATACCAAACAGAAAACAATAAACTTGCGGAAAAGATGGTATACCGCAAACATGAGGTGCAAAAATTTGTACACCATATCCGGATTTCGACAATTAATGTCTCTTCAGTGATGTTAGGAATCGAAACGGTATTTGGAAGGCCATTTAATTCACCTCAATTTGGGATTGACTCTTGAATTTTGAAGAGTCAAAATAGGATGAACGGATCATATAAACCCGAAGGCAAATATAATACAAGCCCAAACGAAAAAATATAAACAAGTCTAAATTGAAAACAACGTTCAAACCTATGATTGCGTTGGATAAAAACCGCAATTTTTATACGTGTGCATGCAAAACAAATTTCTTGGTAGAGTGGTCTAAATACAGCACAAACAACATTTTCCAAAAGACCAAAAAAAGTGAAAAAGTATATTTTAACAAAACGCATTTGACTAGCAGGTCGAACAACGGATGTTCTTAAAACCTGCTGACTGCCATGGCGATTGCCAAATAAACGGATCACCAGATGTAAAAATGGATCTTAAACATTAATTTGATACCAAACAGAAAACAATAAACTTGCGGAAAAGATGGTATACCGCAAACATGAGGTGCAAAAATTTGTACACCATCTCCGGATTTCGACATTTAATGTCTCTTCAGTGATGTTAGGGATCGAAACGATATTTGGAAGGCCATATAATTTACCTCAATTTGGGATTGACTCTTGAATTTTGAAGAGTCAAAATAGGATGAACGGATCATTTAAACCCGAAGGCAAATATAATACAAGCCCAAACGAAAAAATATAAACAAGTCTAAATTGAAAACAACGTTCAAACCTATGATTGCGTTGGATAAAAACAGCAATTTTTATACGTGTGCATGCAAAACAAATGTATATATATATATACAGCACAAACAACATTTTCCAAAAGACCAAAATAGCGAAAAAGTATATTTCAACAAAATGGTCTTTAAGAAAATGCTGTATTTAGACCCCTCTACCTAGAAATTTGTTTTACATGCACACGTATAAAAATTGCGGTTTTTATCAAACGCAATCATAGGTTTGAACGTTGTTTTCAATTTAGACTTGTTTATATTTTTCCGTTTGGGCTTGTATTATAATTTCCTTCGGGTTTATATGATCCGTTCATCCTATTTTGACTCTTTGAAATTCAAGAGTCTATCCTAAATTGAGGTAAATTATATGGCCTTCCACATATCGTTTCGATCCCTAACATCACTGAAGAGACATTAAATGTCGAAATCCGGAGATGGTGTATTAAAATTTTTGCACCTCATGTTTGTGGTAACCATCTTTTCCACAAGTTTACTATTTTCTGTTTGGTATTAAATTATTATTAAGATCCATTTTGTACTGGTGATCAATTTATTTGGCAATCGCCAATGGCAGTCAGCAGGGTTTAAGAACATCCGTTGTTCGACCTGTTAGTCAAATGCGTTTTGTTAAAATATACTTTTTCACTATTTTGGTCTTTTGGAAAATGTTGTTTGTGCTGTATTTAGACCCCTCTACCTAGAAATTTGTTTTACATGCACACGTATAAAAATGGCGGTTTTTATCCAACGCAATCATAGGTTTGAACGTTGCTTTCAATTTAGACTTGTATATATATAAATATATTCCATCTTCATGCCTTATATATCATGTACTGTATTACGACGCTAGATTAAAACTGACGAGGAAAGGTAACACCCGGCCACCGAAAGCTTTATTTTTGTGAAGCCTAGGTGGTCGTGTGGTCTAGCGCGTCGGATACAGTGCAGGCGATTTGGTGTCACGATATCTCAGTAGCATGAGTTCGAATCCCGGCGAGGGAAGAACAAAAAATTTGCGAAAGGCAAATTTACAGATCTAACATTGTTGGGCTGATGTTTAGACGAGTTGTATATACAGAATGTACACAGCCATGTATCACCATCACTGCTGGTGATCCGATATATTAATCTGTTGTAAAGTTGTCACTGGTTCAGACGTACTTATAAATACCATTATTTCTGTGACTGTATCTTGCATTAATTTGTAGGATCCTTTACAATAGATGTTTCAGCTGATCTGTTACAATTCCATCTTCATGCCTTATATATCATGTACTGTATTACGACGCTAGATTAAAACTGACGAGGAAAGGAAACACCCGGCCACCAAAAGCCTTATTTTCGTGAAGCCTAGGTGGTCGTGTGGTCTAGCGCGTCGAATACAGTGCAGGCGATTTGGTGTCACGATATCTCAGTAGCATGAGTTCGAATCCCGGCGAGGGAAGAACAAAAAATTTGCGAAAGGCAAATTTACAGATCTAACATTGTTGGGCTGATGTTTAGACGAGTTGTATATACAGAATGTACACAGCCATGTATCACCATCACTGCTGATGATCCGATGGATTAATCTGTTGTATAGTTGTCACTGGTTCAGACGTACTTATAAATATCATTTCTGTGACTGTATCTTGCATTAATTTGTAGGATCCTTTACAATAGATGTTTCAGCTGATCTGTAACAATTCCATCTTCATGCCTTATATATCATGTACTGTATTACGACGCTAGATTAAAACTGACGAGGAAAGGTAACACCCGGCCACCGAAAGCCTTATTTTCGTGAAGCCTAGGTGGTCGTGTGGTCTAGCGTGTCGGATACAGTGCAGGCGATTTGGTGTCACGATATCTCAGTAGCATGAATTCGAATCCCGGCGAGGGAAGAACAAAAAATTTGCGAAAGGCAAATTTACAGATCTAACATTGTTGGGCTGATGTTTAGACGAGTTGTATATACAGAATGTACACAGCCATGTATCACCATCACTACTGGTGATCCGATGGATTAATCTGTTGTAGAGTTGTCACTGGTTCAGACGTACTTAGAAATATCATTATTTCTGTGACTGTATCTTGCATTAATTTGTAGGATCCTTTACAATAGATGTTTCAGCTGATCTGTAACAATTCCATCTGCATGCCTTATATATCATGTACTGTATTACGACGCTAGATTAAAACTGATGAGGAAAGGTAACACCCGGCCACCGAAAGCTTTATTTTTGTGAAGCCTAGGTGGTCGTGTGGTCTAGCGCGTCGGATACATTGCTGGCGATTTGGTGTCACGATATCTCAGTAGCATGAGTTCGAATCCCGGCGAGGGAAGAACAAAAAATTTGCGAAAGGCAAATTTACAGATCTAACATTGTTGGGCTGATGTTTAGACGAGTAATATATACAGAATGTACACAGCCATGTATCACCATCACTGCTGGTGATCCGATGGATTAATCTGTTGTAGAGTTGTCACTGGTTCAGACGTATATATAAATATATATATATATATAAAACAAGTCTAAATTGAAAACAACGTTCAAACCTATGATTGTGTTGGATAAATACCGCAATTTTTATACGTGTGCATGCAAAACAAATTTTTTGGTAAAGGGGTCTGAATACAGCATAAACCTTTTTTTCTCTCACTTTTCTTCCGATGTAATTATGATGCTTTGTATACCTAATACACATGTTCAAATATTTCAGTTTTTAGCAGGTTAAAAATGTTGGCAATTTTCCCTGAACTTTCAGTTTTCAGAAACTCTCAGTATAACGCGTTTGAGAAAGAGATGATAATGATTGATGGCTGCTTAACGTCCAGCGGCAAATTAACCTGTATTTCTAAGACGAGAACATGTTAATGTAATATGAAAATTAACCCTGCTTTGTACTAGACCGAAACGCTGAGCTGGATTTTTAACGTGCTAGTTCACACAGTTTATTATTTAGGTTAAAGATATCATTCGAACGAAATTTCATTTAATCTAATAACCTGTAAACTTTTCAATTTTGTATCAAAAGTGTCTGCAGTTCCAATATGTAGCACTTATTAACATTTTAGTTTCATGACATATCAAAAATTGTAGGTTTTGTTTACGGACTCTTTATGGTCTTTAATATACCAATTCCATTTGTTTTTTACAACTTTTTAGAGATTTGACACACTGTGAGTGAAACAAGTGCAGGAGAAATCGTCCATATATCTTTGTTTTTAATCCACTCAAGAAATCCAGAGTTTATATCATTTTCAGAGATTTCAGTGGGATATTAACCGATATCGTGCACAATAACGATTCTTTCAGAGGACCTAAAACAGGTATGACCAATAGTTAAATGCATGTGCATATGGCATAAGAGATTTAAATATTCAATAGACTATCATTTGTTACTAAAAGCCTCAAAGGAACTCTATACTTCCGACGTCCGATAGATATTTGTTTTGACTTGGATGGTGCTTCTTACTCATTATTGGATTAAATACTTAAAACAAAAAGAAAACAAATCGTAAAAACTAATCACCATTGCAATTTGAGTCACCTTCAAGCACATATTTGTTTACGTGTTGAAATATAAGATTCGATATTTTAGAACCAGAAAGTACACAAAATAAGATGTGATACTGTTTAGTATTGAAGAAAATATTGACTTTTTTAAATGGCCATTGAGTTAAAAAAATTCATTTAAATAACCCATTACCTCTTTCATGACAATGTATGACATCACACATGACAGGCACATTTCACAATTTCTGCGATTTAGGCATCCAAAAATATCCTTAAATAATTTGTACAACATTCAAACATAGTACTTACTTATCTGTATCAGAATTTGCATCTTTGGTGACATCCGAGTCCTGAAAGTAAAAACAGATATCTATGCATTTTATTGGTACCAACCTAGACCTCTAAATCAGCCGGACTTAAAAAAATAAATAGCCTGTCCTCGCGGAACCCGATGACGCAATGCCTTCTTAGATAATGAGCCTAGGGTTTATAAATGGAATACGTACGCAACACCAAAATCTCACAAACACTGTCGATTTCAAAGGGAAAGGTTTGTGCTTAAGCAAAACTGGTTAAACCCCACCACATTTTGTTTCTGTAACAATGGAGAAATAGTAGGTAATATATTATCTTGTTTTTGGATTTTAGTAAGGTTTTTGACCTTATTAAGATGGGAAGAACATAGTGATCGTATCATCAAAAATATCACTTTTGTATAAACTTAAAGAATATTTGCCAATACACAGACAACTTATAATGCATTTATTTTTTACCATACATATAAAAATAAGGAGATGAGGTATGATTGCCAATGAGACAACTATCCACCAAAGTTCAAATAAATCAATAAACTATTTAACAATATTAATTAAAATTAATTTTTGAAATACGAATGAAAATTGGCCTATTGGGTAAACAAATTGGTATATTACGCATACTGCAAGGTAAAGTAGTAATTTAGAATCCAACAAAATAGGAGGATACATATATAGAAGTGGTTTATCTTACTATTTTAATGAAATAGTTAACTTTTCTTTATTAAAAAAAATGTTGTATATGCAAACAGAATGAACTGTTAACGCTTAAATTGGTTATCCGGTATTTTTTTTTTTTTTTTATATACTCATTCAATTGTTTCCATAGAAAAGCTTCATATTTGAGTTTTATTTAACTCATATTTTGCAATACATTTTGATATATTTTACTTACTCTTAAATGTTATACATTGTTTTGTGTTGACTGAAATTGCTCAAATACAATACAAACTCTAGCCATAAAGGGAAGGAATTTTTCCGATTTTGAAAAGCATACTGATGTTTCGGGTCCGGTTCTTTTATACGAACAAAACTTATATTGTTTGATTCAATATATACATCTTGATATACAGTTTAATGGTTCATAAAGATTTAGGTTGTGTTAAGAAATATTTGCCAAAAAAACTTTTTTGTTATTGACACACTACGATTATTCTGGTTCATGTTACCAAAATGATTTTCTTCAACATTTTGCACTAAAATGTCCTGGTATATGAAAATTATTAACCGTTATGTGTTCTCCTTGCACACATTGACTTCCTAAACGACGCTTCGTCCATGACCTTTTGTGCGATCAGGCCCAAGACCACAATTTATGATCCCTGTTTTCATTAATGACCCCTGTTTGAACAACGAATACAGTTCCCTTTAATTATAGTGTTTTTTTTTTGTTTCCCTTTCTCATTCATTTCTAAGTTTTTATGTGGTGGAAATGAAAGAAGAGAGTTGAAATAAATGTTTGAATGTTGTATTTAACTGATTTTTATATGGAAAGAGTGATTAGGCCAGGTGCAAAAAGGTAATATCAACAGTTTTCGTAACATGTCTTTACTAGTCCATAGGGGTATGGGTGTAAATTGGCTAAATTTGTGAGCTGTAAAAGTGAAATTTTTCTGAATGTTGGATATATTTTTGGACTTGAACTGTGCATTACACACATACTGTGCATTACTGTACACACACAAAATATTAGTCACAACAAAATGCTGCGATTTTTGTAATGTGACAAAACGTTATAAAGAACAAGTAGGGAAATTAATTGTATTCTGTGGCTACCTAACGCAAATTAGATTTCGGTCAGGAATCTGAGCAGGTTTATTATCTCCCTTCATTTTCCCCTAGCGGTAGTTGACATCTCTAGACTATTGTAGTATAGTTTAGGTGAATGTATCACACACATATTCTGGTAGAATCATGAAACTGCAGACAAGAGTAGCAAGAATTAAGTAATCTTACTTAAAAGTTTTCTTCTTTTTAAAATGGTTATACTTTACAGAAAGAGTAAAATACCAACACTATATTCCAATGAAAAATCGTAAGTAAACTAACACTTGATAACTTATCAATCCTGATTTATAATCATGTTCAACACTACAATTTACGATCTGTCTGTTGATTGTTGTTTGAATGGCGTAGTCTTACGACGTCCAGTGGCAAATATTTCATGCATGTTTAGGACGAGAACAAGTTAACACTAAATACAATAGGTAGGTCCTTCAATAGTGTGTCGACCGGAATGACGCGAGGTCAATTTGGAAGCCACTGGAAAATCAGGATGGGCTGAAATTAGGCCTTAATATAGGTCACCTACGGACCCCTCAAAATTATACAAGGGTTTTCAACATGCATAGAGCATGAAATTTTCTCTACTCGAGGCATTGGATTTTACGTCTCCAGTCTGACCAGACATGGCTGTAAATCTATACATCCGCGCACATCCAAACGGACGCATCGCTATGTAAAGTGTTTTACCGTCGGTCGGAAGAAGATCTAGGGATGATCATGTTTCCAGACTCCAATCGACCCTTACGATATGTCTTCGATAACGATCTATTTTTACCAAGACCAAATACTAATTTTTATAAGAAATCAAAAATCCTTTCTTCATTCTGTAATCAAAGTATATGGAATGACTCAACAATCACAATAAAAAATAAACTAAAACACGAAACCGAAGAAACTACAACATGAAACCGAAGAAACTAAAACATGAAACCGAAGAAACTATAACATGAATCCGAAGAAACTATAACATGAAACCGAAGAAACTATAACATGAAACCGAAGAAACTATAACATGAAACCGAAGAAACTACAACATGAAACCGAAGAAACTACTACATGAATCCGAAGAAACTATAACATGAATCCGAAGAAACTATAACATGAAACCGAAGCCGAAGAAACTATAACATGAAACCGAAGAAACAATTACATGAATCCGAAGAAAAACATAATTCTAATAAGGCTTCATACCGGAATTGTTTATTCCAAGCAGACGACAATGGGTATTATATTTTTTTTTTTCGGATTGCACGGATATTATTCCTTGCACGAGATTGATAGGTGGAACACATAGCTGAAGTGACAAAATCGCCTTGTTGTGAAATATATTCAGGGAAAATTGACCACACCGCTTTGATATACATGTATAATAACAATTTGTAATAATTCCTCAGGTTTAATGTTCTAAAATAGCTTCCATGAAATCTGTGATTCCTCGTGTAGCCGAGCTTCTGATGGAACACATTGTTATCAATCAGAAAAATAAATAACAGAGATTGTAACATTGTGTACATTTAAATCAAGTATATATGAGGTTAACGCCAACCCTACAACAATAAAAATTAAAAGGCGCCTAAAAGCTCATTATTCGGTCTGAAGTTTTTTGTGGACTATTGTTTTTTTTTTCTCTCTTTCGGCCTTTTACAATTGATCTTTTACACATACATGTTTGAATCTTGATTTTACGTCATGCAACTATCATCTTACGGCACTTTCCTAAAATATGTCTGCTGAACAGATCATTATTAAGGATGGTAGTACTTGTAGCTAATAATTTCTGCCCCCAACAATCGCGCCCTCTTTTTATCAGGAACATAGTCTTATTCAAAGAGATGTATCGAACAAAAATAAAAAAAACTTTGATAAACGAAGGAAGCTAGACTTATTGTATTTGCCTAACTTAAGGTACGGGTCCACATTTTTCGAAAAAAACTAATCTTAAACATTCGGAACAAACAAACCAACATGGCAAAGCTAACGTTTTAAAAATTTAATAAGTTTGACCGATTTTTACAAGAAATCATGATATATTATATTGTATTCATTGATCGTTGTATGATCAGGGGGAAATGAAAAGGACAAAGGCGAGACAAACATGTGACATAGCAGCAGGTCAAAACAAGAACGTTAAATTAAGATATTCAGGAGTTAAAATAATTTATTTCATATCAGTTAAGAATTAGCTTCTCTTATTGGATAACAAGGGGCCACATGACATTCTTTATTCTTCAGTAATATTTTCTATCGGTCTTTAACAGAAAATAAAATGCTCAGCTGGGCGCAGCTTGATACGATCGCAGAGGCCGAACCCTGAACAGTTGGGGCAAGTATGAACACAACATTCAAGCTTGATACAGCACTGAATTTGGATTGTGATTAAATATTTGACACAGCACAGGTTTCTGACACAGAATGAATGTGGTCTAAGAACTTAAAAAATTTTAATTTACCTATTCAAACCATATCATTATTATTTGCTTTTATATATAAATCAGAAATAACCAATTTAAAATGGAAAATTTTAAAGAAAACCCCCCCAAAAATTTTTTGAACCCCCTTATGATTCATCACACCCAAACTCAATCCCAGCCTTCCCTTTGTGGTATGGTACCTGCAGTACAATTTCAGAGAGATCCATACACTTGAACACAAGTTATTGTCTGGAAACTAGAAAAATGCTTGTTTTTTGGCCCCTTTTTGGCCCCAAATTCCTAAACGTTTAGGGAAATTACCCCCAAACTCAAACCCAGCTTTCCCTTTGTGATATGGAACCTTGTAGTACAATTTCATAAAGATCCATACACTTACACACAAGTTATTGTCCTGAAACTAGAAAAATGCTTGTTTTTTGCCCCTTTTTTTGCCCCTAATTCTTAACATTTTGAAGCAATTACCCCCAAAATCAATCCCATCCTTCCCTTTGTGGTATGGTACCTTGCAGTACAATTTCAGAGAGATCGATACACTTGAACACAAGTTATTGTCTGGAAACTAGAAAAATGCTTATTTTTGGCCCCTTATTCCTAAAAGTTTTGGGCAATTACCCCCAAACTCAATTCTAGCTTTCCCTTTGTGATATGGAACGTTGTAGTACAATTTCAGAAAGATCCATACACTTACACACAAGCTATTGTCATGAAACTAGAAAAATGCTTATTTTTTGCCCCTTTTTTGGCCCCTAATTCCTAATATTTTGAGGCAATTACCCCCAAAATAATAAAACGCAATCGCGATTCAGACGTGTTTACAGT